AGTGAGAGAATGCATTTTTGTTGCTTTAAGTCACTGGGTGATAATTAGTTACAGCAGCCGCAGGAAACTAGTTTAGGTTCCCACTTGTCTCAAATGCTTATCCTGTGACCTGTGCTGTAGGTGACACCATATCAAGGGGTCCTTTTCTGCTAGTTAAGTGTTATCAAGCTAAGAAGAAACCTTTCTTACATTACTGGAAATGTAATGTAAGAAACTACACTTAAGAAAGTAGAGTGTGAGAGGCACAGAAAGGGGACAATATACTTTACTATTCATTCATTTAATAAATATTCTGTAAATTCTTGCTATGTGTCAATGATTGTCCTAGACCTAGATCCTGGATTAAAATTGAATAAGGTAGGATCCTTGTCCTTGAGGAAATCAGTTGATGAGGGGAAGTAGACGCACGTATGTGAAAAATGCAGTAATAATGGTAAAAACGAGGGAGGGTCCTTATGACTTTAAACCTAAGGACTAGAAATCATCTCTCTTTCTCTCTGTCTCACCCCTAAGAGGGAGTGTGCCCCCCAAAATGTATATACACTTTTAATAATTATAAAGACACTGTTAAAATACACATTTTCAAAGTGTAATAGAATCTATAGACATTGTATGTATACATTTTGGGGGGACACCTATGCCCCTTAGTGACCTAGCCTTTCCCTGGATAATCAGCAACTACCCCCCTCCCTGATACCTCCTTCACTCCCACCCCCCCACTCCATCCCCAGCAGAAGACAACAGCTGGTACCTAGACTAATGGCCATTTAGTCCAGATCATTGACAGGCTAAAGATAACATCTTGACCTAAGTTATGTTTCAACTACTGGGCGCTGATGTGAAATGATGGTCTGGTTACTTTCTCAGGAAGTGGGGCTGAGGGACCCAGAAAAGACCTCAGAATTGTCTCCAGGACCTAAAGAGATGGTTATTACACTCTTATGTCACCTCTGACCCATCAGCTCCCATCAGGACCCTGAAACCCTTGTGATTTTGCCCTATATAATCTGTAACCTACACGCCATCCATCTGGCAGTTTGGAGTGTTAGCCTCCAGCTCTCCTGAGTAGCACCATTCATTTAAAAAAAAAAAAAAAAAGCCATATTTCTCCACTGCATTTCTTCATGTTCGGTGTGTGGCTCTGCTGGCTCCAGGCGGAGGAACTTTTTCTGTTCTGTAGTAATCATGTGTTGTAGTGTCCTTGGACACACTAAAGAATGCAGAGATGATAGGAAGGTTCTGTGTGAGATGGAGGAGAGGTGGGTTAGAAAAAGCTTCATGAGAAAGAGATGTTTCTGAACTGACAAATAAAGAAGCAGAGTAATAAAAGCTGACAAACATATATCATTTTTTTTCCTCGTGGATTTCATGCGTTGAAGGACACTGTCTACCAAAAACAGAAAACGTCTGTGTTTATTAATCCATAAGCATAAGATTAAGGATATCTCTCAAGCAGAGTTGATCAGCAACATAGGATGATTACATTATTTCTCTTACCATTATTTCAACCAAGAGAAAGGTATTTGTCATTTGATTATTTTTTCATACAAAGTCTTTTTCAGACAAAAGTGTGATATTTTTTATTATGCGTTAAGAATACTGGTATAGCTGCAGTGCTATCTCCTCATTGTGTTCAGGGACAGGCCTTCCCATTGTGGGAAAGCCAGCATTAACTACTTGTACTATACCATCTGGCCAAAGAACATTATATTGAAAAGAAACTCAGTAATGAGAGTGCCTATATAACAAGGCAATAGCCCTGTCTTCGGGGCATACCTACCTTCCAGTATTGTTTCCTTGTAAGACAACAGAAACAGTCGGATCCTGCGCCCCTCTTACAGACCTCCTATAAAATATTATAATAGTGATACTTATAACAAACCAGCATTTGTTTAGCATTCTGTCATTTGACAAAAGGGTTTCACAAAAGTATCTTTTTGGGGTTGTTTGAGATATAAGCAAATACTGTTTTATCATTTCAGGCAAGTGTCTTTCTCTATTTTTTCATCTTTTATTGCAATATTATTTTAGTGAACATGTTTCCCCCCCCCCAGCTTTATTGAGAGTATTGACATAGAACATTGTGCTGACTCAATACTCAGTACACATATTTTGTGAAATAATTGCCATCCTAGCTTTAGTTAACACTTCCATCATCTCATATTGTCACCATTGCTTTTTTGTGATGAAAACATGTGGGATCTACTGTACTCTCTTCACAATTTTCAAGTACATAATATAGTTAACTATAATCACCATGCTGCTGTGCATCAGACATCCTAAAGTTCTTCATTTTATAAGTGGAAGTTTTTACCCTTTGACAACATCTCCCCCTTCCCCCTACCTCCTCAAGAAAGTTCCTTAATCTTTTAGCTTCAGTTTCCTTATCTTTAAAACTGTACCACTGACATCCACATGGCTATTATGAGAATTAAGTGAGATTTTGTATATGAAGTAACAAGGACAGGGCCTGACACTTTGTATACAGTAAGAACTAGATTATTTTTATTTCCTTTATTCTGGAAGTAGGTGACATTTTAAAATTGTCTTTTATTCTGTTCTTCAATTGCTTCACTCCTCTCACCTCATGACAAGAACCAACCCATTTTGTAGATCCTCCCACCTATCTATTGAAATTATGGCCCTGAATGATTACTCAGGGGTATAATTTGAGGATCTCCAGTGTGTCCAAGAATTTCTTCCAGTGGTGATACCCCTTGGGTTCTCTGTGTGTTGTTTTTCTGTCACATGCTTAATAAGAGCAGAATGCTATCCTACATAATGAAAGAGTAATATGCAAATTAACCATCACTCTGCTACACCCACCAGCCACACCTACCAGCCACACTCCATCAGCCAATCAGAGCAGGTATGCAAATAAACCAAATCAAGATGGCTAGGGCCACAAAGAGCAGGAGGGAGTCTTGGATTTCCCAGGCAATGGAAGAAGCCAAACTTTCCGCCTTCCCTAGCCAGCCTAAGCCTCCACTCAAGGCTACAAAGTTTCAATTAGAAGAAGGTAAACAAATCCAAACAGAAATGGCGGCAGCCATGGAGCGAGCAGGAGGCTTGACTCCACTCTAAGCTACAAAGTTTCAATTGTAGAAGGTAAATTCCACATACTAGGTCCTTTGCTTGGGTCGCCAGGGGGCGTGGCTGGCCTACAAACCACCACAGGCCCCTTGCCCAGGGCCCAAGGGAACCCCCAACCTGATTCGGGACACCCTTTAGGGCAAACCAGCTGGCCCCCACCCATGCACCAGGCCTCTATCCTATCTAATAATCTAATAAAAGAGTAATATGCAGACTGACCATCACTCCAACACACAAGATGGCTGCCCCCATGTGGTCAAAGATCCTGCTCCCATGTGAACCCAAAATGGCCACCACAGGATGACCAGCAGGGGAGGGTAGTTGGGAGGCACCAGGCCTGCAAGGGAGGGCAGTTGAGAGGGACCAGGCCTGCAAGGGAGGGCAATTGGAGGTGATCAACCCTGCAGAGGAGGGCAGTTAGGAGTGGCCAGGCCAGCAGAGGAGGAAGTTGGGGCAAATAGGCTGTCAGGGGAGCAGTTAGAGATCAATCAGGCTGTCATGGGAGTGGTTAGGGGGTGATTAGATTGGCAGGCAGAAGCAGTTAGGGGCAATCAGGAAGGCAGGCAGGTGAGCAGTTGGAAACCAGCAATCCTGGATTGTGAGAGGGATGTCCGACTGCTGGTTTAATTAATGGGATCAGGCCTAAACGGGCAGTCGGGCATCCCTTGAGAGGACCCTCCCAGATTGGAGAGGGTGCAGCCTGGGTTGAGAATGCCCCCCCCCCCCCCCCCCCACCATGCAGAAATTGTGTGCATTGGGCCTCAATTGTGTGCATCGGGCCTCCAGTTTACAAATAATATACTCTCTTACTCCAGGAAGATTTAAGGCAGTTTTCAGGATTTAATCATGTATGACACAAGAAATCCATATATCAAAAAGAGAGGACACACTATTAAAAAGAGAACTTGGTAAACTGTAACTAGGATTTGATATGGATCATTCAAGTTTTGAATTAAATCAGTCATTAATCAGTTCATGGAATTAAATGAGATAAGCACATTGCATTTGGCAAGGAAGTAGGATTTTGTGAAAATTTAGTTTCAATTTTACATTATGCATGTGTTATAAAATGTATTTTGTTTATAAAAAAGAAAAAAAAAACTTGAAAGCCATGGGATTAGGCTATGAATGGTTTACTCATTCCACGACTTGTTACTTTGACCATCTTGGGAAGCTCCTGATGAAACAAACATTTATTGAACACTTATTTTTCACCAGGTATTCTTCTATATGGATGTTTTTTTTCTCTTCCCTCATACTGACATTCCCTAACACTGATATGCAGTGTAAGACAGATACCCTGTGTCAATCCACAGGCTTCTCACCCCTCACCTGGCCGCTGTCTGATACAAGCCTGAGAGGCTTCCTGTTACTGAAGTAACTCTGATAGTAGGTAGTAAAATGTAAATTCCTAAATAGAGTCAATCTGAGCTTCCCTAAGCCCCGGAGAATCACATCCGCTTTAACCATCCATCCTCTGATCTTTCTTTTACTTAGAATTTTCTTAAAAGCTTTATCAGCGTGGGTTGGAGTAGGGATGGGGCGCAGGGAAGAGAAGGTGCAGAGAGGCTTTAGGTATGAGTTGCTGAGCATGGGCGGGAGAAGGGGGACTCTAGTGCACAAAAGACTTTTTCCTTCCTTCATGTCGTCACCAAAGCTCTTTGAGTTGAACTTTTTTTTGGAAAACGACCTGTCAGAAGTAGGTGTGTGTGTGGGAGCAGGCAGGCAGGCCAGGTCCCCACGTGAAGTAGGAGTATCTTCCTCCGCATCTGGTCTTTCAGAACTGGGCAGGCTGGGCTGCGGGCCGCCTCCCAGCTCCCAGCTCCCAGCTCCCAGCCGGGACACCCCAGCAGCCGCCGCCGCAGACAAAGGGGCCGGGGCCGGGGAGCGCGCGCTCGGAGCGGGGCCGGGGGCCAGGGCCGCCGAGTGGCCCGCGCAGACCCGCTGCGTCTGGAGCCGGAGCCGGAGCCCAGGCGCCCGGAAGACCCGGGGTTCAGGGCGCAGACCCCTCCCGGGCTGGCTGGGCGCCGGCCTCGCGCTTCCACTCGGTCTTTGACCACCGCCCTCCGCCCGCCCGCGGCCCGGCCCGCCCCGCCCGCGCTCCTGTCCCCGCGGCCCCGGCGCGCCGCTCCTTCCCGGGCCGGCGGGCGGCGAGCTCGGCGGGCGGCGCAGCGGGCGGCATGGCTGTGTCCTGGAGGAGCTGGCTGGACAACGAAGGGGTTAAACACCTCTGCCTGGTAGGATGGCGGGCAGGCTGCCCCCGCGTTTGGTCTCTCCTGGAGAGGTTTTTTTTTTTTTTTTTTTTTTTTTTTTTTGATTCATTCTTGGAGCGTGCGCGGGTGGGAGGCTGGAAGTGGAAGTTTTGCCTCGAATCCGAACAGTCTCGACCCAGGAAACTTGCCGCGGTTACTACCTGGAGATCCTAAAGATGCCACCCTTTGCTCCAAAAGCCAGAGACCTTTCCCATACCCTGAGGGGAGAGCGGCTGTGGAGGAAGGGAGAAGGGATCACTAAATGAACTCAGCTCTTTGTTAACCCTTTAAACATCGACCCTCCTCTGCTCCCTGCACAGAATGCTTCTGCTGGTCGGTGTGTTTTAACAATACACATCGCTGGGGACCTGGTGATATCACTCATTGCTGAGCCCCGGTTTTTTGTTTTGTTTTTTTGTCCTGCAAGGGATCTCTGCAGATCCTTCAGGAGACCTGTTGACAGCCCAAATGCTTCCTCTTAGGTGCAGGGGCTGAGTGAGGTCAGATGTGTTTTTCTTGGAGTGGTTTTCAGATTGCTTTCCGCAGTTACTAATTGAGGTTCCATTGAAAGTATTGTGTCCAAGGAAGGAATGTCCTTAAGGTTTCCATTCATCAGGTTGTGTTTATGTTTAACTTTTTGTTTTCTCTCTCCTTTTGTCTGATGTAGCTGATCTGGCTGGCCCTGAACATCCTGCTTTTCTGGAAAACCTTCCTGCAGTACAACCAAGGGCCAGAGTACCACTACCTCCACCAGATGTTGGGGGTAAGTGGGAGTTGGGTGGCCCAGGACAATGCATTCAGTGGAGGCAGACCTTGCTGCAGTCCTTGATCAGTTCTTCCATTCATTAAAGAAACATTGGTGGTTCACTGTGAAATGCTTGTTAATCTCTCAAGTGGGTCAAGTTTTCTTGATTTATCATGTATACTTGTCTGGATTAAGATGACTGGCTCTTTCAAGTACCAAAGATAATATCTGCTAGGGGGAAGTGGATGAAACTGTCAGACAGGCTAGGAGTATCTAAGAAAAGTTGCTTTTGCTTGTCAGCTAGCGGCAAAGTGCCCTGAACGATCTGCTTGGCCAGAAGGGCCCACCGATGACAGGCTTTTACTTTTCACTAATCAAGACTTCAGCATGCCCATAAGCTCATGCAGAGGACTTCTGTAGTGTTTCCGCTCTAAGTCTCACTAAGTATGTGTCTGAGGCAGTACCCATTGACATTGAGAAGCGGGTAATTCTTAGTAGTTTATTTAAACTGATGATAACCGGGCACTTTATAAATATTTAGTGTAAGCCAGGAAACTATTCTCCCCATTTTACACATGGAGAAATACAGGATAAAGGAACAGAAGGGCTTGTTCAAGTTCCTCAGATTTGAATGCACTGCTGTCTGGCTTTTGCTTCTTTCTCATACTACACAGATTTTCTAAACCACTTCACTGGTCCATCTCAGATACTTATGCCTCCGGTTAGTATTATTATTCTTTATTAGGCTGCCCAATAAAAATGTAGCATGAGCATAAGGAACTTAAAATTTCTTAGTAGTATGTTTAAAAAGTAAGAAGCCAGTGGCTTAAAGCGTTAACTTTAAGAATATATTTTATTTCTAATAATATATCCAAAGTAGTATGATAAATTGAAGTACTCAACATGTGATCAATATTTGAAAAAAAATTATGAATGAGATATTTTATATTATTTTCGTTTGTTAGTTCTTTGAAAATATAGCTTTACACATATGCCCATCACAGTTCAGTCACTAAATTTTCATCAGAAATACTTGACCGATGTTTAGAAATCAGAAATTTTTACAGATGATATAGTGGATTCCCATATTCAAGTTGTTCAATACATATTTATTGGAAAAACAAGTTTTTCCAATAACACAAATGATTATCAGCTTTTAAATTTTAATTTCTGTTAATAACGTTTATAATATTAAACATTTAATCCTTTGGTGGCTCTTCACCAAGCCACCAATCAATTTAATAAAAAGACATCAGAATATAGGTAGTTCTCTTGCTTCCCCTCTTCAAAATAGAAGCTGATATTGGAGGGTAAGTTGTGGTCTTTAATTATTGGTATCCTAATATATAAAAACCCAAGGTCCATAATGTCCAAAATGACCAAAGACTGACTGGCATAGAAACTGATCAGTCAGATCCAAACCTGTGTGATCTGTGAGGAGCCAATGGTTGCCTAGGAGGCAGAGCTTTTGATGCTGACTGGCATAGAAACTGCCCAATCATAACCTAATATGATGAACTGGGAAGGAAGAACCTAAGGTGGGGGCTGAGGAGGGGTTTTAAGGGCAATAGCTGTTTGGTGTAAGGTGTAAGAAAGCAGTTCAGTTTTTTAATGACCGTTTTGGCAGTATAGTGCATATGGCTGGCTATCAGTCCAGATATATGGATTATGTGTTTTTGTCTGCCAAGAGCATCTCTTCCTGCTAAAAATGAAACTGCCCTTCCCTGTAGACTTGATCTCATCCCCAACTGCCCTCCCCCCATTTAATCAACCCTATCCTATATAATCTATCTATACTAAAAAAATGGTAATATGCTAAAGACAGGGGCAATCAGTCATCTTCTGGATGTCTGACTTCCTTCCAGACAAAGCCATGAGGGCAGTTGAGGGTGAGATCAAGCCTGTAGGGGAGGGCAGTTGAGGGTGAGATCAAGCCTGTAGGGGAGGGTAGTTGGGGTCAGTTGGGAGGCCAGCAGGGGAGAGTAGTTAAGGGCAATCAGACAGGCAGAGGCAGTTAGGGGAGATCAGGCTGGCAGGGGAGAGCAGTTGGGGGCAAGATCAGGCCAGCAGGGGAGGCCATTGGGTTGAGATCAGGCTGGCAGGGGAGGGCAGTTGGGGGTGAAATTAGGCCAGCAGGGGAAGGCAGTTAGGGGTGATCAAGCAGGCAGAGTCAGTTAGGGGCGATTAAGCTGGCAGGGGAGAGCAGTTAGGGACAACCAGGCCAGCAAGGGAGGGTAGTTGGATGAGAGATCAGGCCAGCAGAGGAGGGTGATCAGGCAGGCACAGGCATTTGTGGCTGAGATCAGGTTGGCAGGGGAGGGCAGTTAGGGGCAATCAGGTGGGCAGGCAGGCAGGCAGAGGCAGGTGGTGCAGTCAAACAGGCAGGGATAAAGGATAGGGACAATCAGGCAGGCCAAGTGAGTGGTTAGGGCCAACAGTCCCAGATTGTGATAGGGATGTCTGACTGCTGGTTTAGGCCCGATCTCACAGGGATTGGGCCTAAACCTGCAGTCGAAAATTCCTCAAGGGGTCCCTGATCATAGAGGGTGCAGGCTGGGCTGAGGGAACCACCTCACCCCATGCATGAATTTCATGCACCGGACCACTAGTGTAACTATAGAAACATCTCTGACTTTTCCCTAATCTGTTGATGGGAACCTTTGAAGTATGGTAAAGGTATTTAATTTTCAGAACTGAGGTATCCATTTTTATTACTAATAGGCTAAGATACTTTTTTCACCAAAATTAAAGAGTAAGAACTGACAAGGAGCTGGTGTGGCTCAGTGCTTGATTGTCGACCTATGAACCCAGAGGTCACTGTTCAATTTCTGGTCAGGGCACATGCCTGGGTTGCAGGCTCAATCCCTGGTGAAGGGTGTGCAGAAGACAGCTGATCAATGATTCTCTCTCATCATTGATGTTTCTATCTATCTCTCTCCCTTCTTCCCTAAAATCAGTCCAATTATAGTTAAAAAAACACAAAACAACACAACAAAACTGACAGGGAAAAGAAGATCTTAAATGATGGAGGATAAAATAATATTGGAATTGATATATCTTTGAAGAAGTTTTATCAGGATTGTTTTCCTAGGCTGATATGACCCTGTCCTGGAGGCAACATGGTCACGGCTGGTTTATGCCTGAGTTAATGTGCTAATCAGACTGTGGACTTCCTAGAAGATGTTTAATTATGACACACTGTGAATATTGGAATCTTCTAATTATCTAAGAGGGAAAAACAGTCCTTTGAAGAAAGCCAAAACAATATTCAAACAAATGAACAAACCAAACAGTAACTTCTTCCATCTTCCTATAGCAACTATTTTAAAAATTCCATTTATTGGGGTAACATTACATTTTAAATCAAGGACTCCATTGATTACTTAAGATTAAATCGGTTTTTGAGATTTATTTATTTTTCAAGTATTGGAAAATGTAGTTACTGGTACTTTAATTGAAGAACTAATATATTGTGACCAGCTCTAAAAGATTAGTTACTTAAATTTTTGAAATATCAAAGCAATTTAACTGAGAATACTACTTATAGAAACCTTCACATTTATATTCATCTACTATTTGAGTTGTATTTCTGACATTTTAACAATTAAAGGATATCATTTAATTGATATAAATATTTTAATTTGAGAAGAGAATGAGCTTTATGATACCAGATTCAATATGTCTTGGTTTTATATCTTTCCCCCCAAACTAACATATGTATATGGACTATTCACTTTTAACCTATTTTTATAATTCCATAATGAGAATGTAAATTATTTTTGCTTAGTCTTGCAATTATTATTTTAGATCTACATGTTTATGAAGATCTTTATTTCTTTTTTAAAGCTCTAATTGAGATACCTATGTTAATTAGAAGAATTCTTTAGCATTTAGTGTTTTGTTTTGTTTTACTGATTTCACAATGATGATCTTTCTCTGGTCAATCATTATCCTTTAAGTGACTTAGAAACATTAACTAATTTACCCTCTCAAGAGACCTAGAAGTTATATCATAATTAACATATTTCAGAGACAGAAATCTGATGTCATGTAAGTTTCTTAAGGTCAGAGAACGGAGTCTATGGACAATGGACTTAGTATTTTAAGTCAGTATTGTTTTCACTGCTGGCATAGGCAGCTTTAATTTTGCTGAGAAGGAATATATGCCTTCTATCAATTTTAGAAAAGGCTTGATCATTAACTTTCCCCCCTTTATTGCACAGAATACTCTGGTTTAAATTTGGGACATTTTCAACTAAGTGTATTTTTTGTTTCTTTTTATTTTTCAATATTCTATTGTTTGAAGACAATTTACTTCCTATTTATTGACAGGCGAAATAGTTTATATTACTTTGATACCATCATTATGTTCTTAATCTGTTTATAATAGAGACTCATAATCTAATTTATAAGAGAACTTTAATATCTTAGATTTATCCTCATTTTCCTAAATAGAAAAATGAGGTTGAAGTGATGTACTCACTATCAGCTACTGAATTAGTGGATTTGTTACCATTCTGATCTGTTTATATTGTCAATCCAATATTCAGTCTCTTACACTGAACAACTCTATGAACCTATGCAAGAACCTATTAAACTATATACTTAGTGGACCTCTAGGTTTTCAACTTATGTGAAATGATATTTAAAGATATTTAATAATTTAAGAAGTTAAGGAAAAGTACTGTTGTATCCCAAACATAACGTATTTTCAGTATTCCAGTTGTTTCAGAGTTGTCTCAGACAAATTGTTAAGGAAATATGAGACATTTTTATTTAAATAATTCCAGATTCTACAGTATTTTAGAACATGTTTAACCTCTTTGTTTTATACAGCTAAGTGGCCACTGTATAATCAACACCATCCAAAAAAGCATAGAACTGGGTGTTGGAATTAAGTTCAGAGATTTTCAAATGTAACTTCTTCATTTCACCCTATCTAATAAAAGGTAATATGCAAATTAACCATCACTCCATCACAAATATGGCAGTTCCCATAGTGGCCTGGGCACTGAACA